TGTGTTGCCCAGAACTCGGGGAGGAAGGATGCACCGCCCGGCTGGGGAAATTCGGTTAGCCTTCGGTCAGCCTGGCCCACAGGGGTCACACTTGCAGCTCAGGCCTATCAGGTGATGAGGTGAGCTGGGGCATTCTGGCTCAGTGTAAGTCAAGTCTGAGGCTTCGCTCCAGAGCCTTCTGCTGCCGTGGCCCAGGCTTGGTCAAGCCTGCATCCCAGTTCTCTCTCTGCCAATGTTTCTCCCAGCCCCTCCTGCCACCTGTGTTAATTTCTAATAATCACCTTGCGCCTAACTCCGGGTCAGCCCCTGTTTCTGCAAACCCACTTGGGACAGGGTTTTCTCATTTCAGTCGATATGCATTTCACAAGAGGGCGCAAAGCTCTAGATCACAAGGATATGTCGATAAAATATTTCTTTTAGGAGTTTTAATATTTCAGTTGCTTTATTTGGAAAAAACTGACTCATGATGTTCCTTGCAATTTATCTCAGCGATGTTTGCAAATATTCTGTATTTTGCCTGTTAGCATGAACAGAACATTATGGCTGTTCCTAGGAAATACATGTTTAGCAGTTTTAACTTAAAAAAAAAAAGATTTTATTTATTTATTTATTTGACAGAGAGAGAGAGACAGTGAGAGCAGGAGCACAAGCAGGGGGAGTGGGAAAGGGAGAAGCAGGGGGAATGGGAGAGGGAGAATCAGGCTCTTGCTGAGCAGGAAGCCGGATGCGGGGCTTGATCCCAGGACCGTGGGATCAATGACCTGAGCCAAAGGCAGACGCTTAATGATGGAGCCACCAGGCACCACCAGCAGTTTTAACTTTAAACGATCCAAACTGTGAGCACCATTTGGGTCCAACAGTTATGGCAATAGCAAAAATAAGCTACTCGGGATCTTGGGTGAAATAATCAAACTGCTTGTCATTTTAGAAATGCAAATTTTATTCCAGTTCTTGAACAATATGGAAAGATTCTCCTTGCTGTTGTCATATTATCAGAGTTGTCATATTACCAGCAAATACCTGGGCTGAAGCCTATTTTGGGTATAATACCGAAAGAAGTCTGTTTATGATTCAGAAGAATTGTGACTATGATATTTCCTAAAAGCTTTACAAAATATATCCAAGTCTTGTTGTCTCTTCATTTTATGTGTTATTTCAATAATTTATTATAAATTCATGCATGTATAAATGCCAAAGCCCTGCATACTACCTATTCCCAAGAATTCAAAGCCTCAGCAGCAGGATCAGAGTAGAAACAATAGAACTGAAATAGAAGCAATGATGTCATTTGAAGAGAATGATAAACGAGCGATTCTCCTAGACCTCCGGTACCTCCCTGCCCAGGAGACTGGGCTGCTAATGTTCCTCACATTTACTTTTCCAAGAGGCGCTTTTCTCACCATGACATCCTACAGCATTTGGCTGATGAAGTTTATACTAGAATTTATGTTAGTAATTCATTTTACCTCTCATTGGGGTTACTGTTATGCAGTTTACTAACTAGCACTGACGCATTTCAATTGCTTATCAATAGGCACATTTATACTCATGCGCACACACAGAGTTAAACTGGACAAATTAAGACCAATGAAAGTGATTCAGATTAGTCACGCTGAGTGATTTCAGAAGCAAACTAAAATCCCCCTTGCCTCCATTCCTGAAGAAAGCTTGGATTTGACCCATGGTAAATACTTTCTGGGTTGTCCGTCTAGTCCCTTCTTCTGGGAGCATCTCTCTGACCTTCCTCCCACCCCACCCCCTGCCCCACCTCTCTGTTGCACCTGCGGACTTGCCTTGGGAACAGTCCTAGTTACACAACTTGGATTGCCTCCCTCATCTCCAGTCCCTGGCTTTAAGATGATTGTTCAGTGCACCTCATCTAAGGTGGGTCAATCAGAATCCCTTCCTTAAGAATTTGGATTTGAGGGGCACCTGGTGGCTCAGCTGGTTAAGGTCATGATCCCAGGGCTCTGCTCAGTGGGGAGCCTGCTTCTCCCTCTGCCTGCTGCTCCCCCTCCTAGTGCTCTCTCTCTCTGTGTCAAATAAAATTTGTAATGTCCTAGTGTGGAGATGTAATTTTTTTTTAAAGATTTTATTTATTTATTTGACAGACAGAGATTACAAGTAGGCAGAGAGGCAGGCAGAGAGAGAGGAGGAAGCAGGCTCCCTGCGGAGCAGAGAGCCTGATGTGGGGCTCCATCCCAGGACCCTGAGATCATGACCTGAGCCGAAGGCAGATGCTTTAAACCACTGAGCCACCCAGGCGCCCCTGGGGATGTAATTTTAATGACATTAATTATAAACAGCTCAAAATTGTATATTAATTATAGTGAGCATCAACTCCTAGTGGATAGGACCTTGTGAACAAGGCTAGGTTATGAATTATGTCTCATGACAAAAGGTCCGAGACACAGATTTGTGTAAAATATCCATTGACTTAGATGACAAAGGGTATACCTGTCCTCATCTGGACAGTGAGGTGACCAGCAGGAAAGTCAGAGTGCTGCTCCGGGCTGGTACTAACCCCCAGAGGGGCGTCTTGGCACACAGACCCTGAAGGCAGCATCTTCAGCCACTTCTGGGCAGCCTGGGAAAGTACCCCCTGTGCTCCCCGAGATGCTGACTGTCAAGTACAACATGGGAAAAGCTGTCAGACCTAGTCTAGATGTATACCTCTCCATTGCTCCCTGCTATCCAGAAAATGTATGCTAATTGTTCCTGTAGGGAACAATTCTGGAATTGTAGAAAGAATAGGAAGAATTCTTCAGACATGTGTTTGATAAACCACCCTTATGTGGGTATAGATGGTCCATCCCTGGAGCTGAACAGCTTTGATTTTGTTCACAGGAGAGCTACTGCGGGAGTACACAGAAGAGGAATGGGGGAACCGTCCTGAGGGCACCGGTCTGGGATTTGGGAAGTACCGCCTAAAGCTTTGACTTCACTTTACTTACCTGGCAGTTTCTTAAATTGTTCTTTGGATAACCCAGGCACTGGTTAAATGCTTCACACGCTTAACTCACTTGATGGACCTGATGAGGCAGTTACTGTCTTCATTTTACAAGTGAGGAAACTGAGTCACAGGAAGTTATAAGTGACTTATTCAGAATCCTACAGCCCATAAGACGCATTCCTGAAGACCTATTTTTTTGGTGGTCGTGGTGGGGGGGATTGGCACATTAAATCCTATATTCCAGGGCACCTGGGTGGCTCAGCCTGTTAAGCCTCTGCTTTTGGCTCAGATCACGATCTCAGGGTCCTGAAATCAATCCCGCGTCTCTCTCTCAAATAAATACAAAAAATCCTTTAAAAATATCCTATACCCTATTTAAATATACATATTTAAACATTTACAATAAAGAAGCTTTCAAACAGGGAAAGAATCATTTCCAGATGAATTTTTGTGTCTCTGTGCATATTTGCTTCATTTGCTTTTCCGTTTGGAAGGCTCCAGATCTCCATAGTGTCTCTCACTCACCTGGGCTAGATTTTGAGATAGAGGTAGAATGACGTAGGTATGCACAGAAGTGATAGAAGAGTTCCAAGACCCTACATTTTGAAGGTTTGAGGAAGGGAGGTTCTTCCTCTGAGAATTCCAGCTGGAGGTTCTTAGGGTCTCTGTGCCGCCTTCAGTTCAGTTTGCCGCGATGGACCTGGGGTGGGAAATGTAATTCTGGTGGTAGGGGATAACCTGAGCGCAAATATATTAAACAACTGAACATACCGGGATATATGGGGTCTGAGTTTTCTAAGATATTTTTAAGTTTATTGTCTATAAAAAGGTTTTGTAAGACTCTTCCTTGAGGAAAGTTGCCAGGTAAGTTCTTTTGACACTTGAACTTCAATAATCAGGGAGAAAAGCAAGCTCCCTTAAAGCTATTCAAAGGTAAGCCTGAGAGCAAACTAGCAGGATATCTGGTGGCTAGAAGCAGGGGTTCTCATTATTAGGGCCGTGGAAAATGTATTCAATACCGAGTCTGCGTGCATAAACATTTCTCCGGGAAGACGGTCTTGAGCAGTCCTCAGCTTCTCACAGAAGTCAAGGCACCCCCAAAATGTGCAAAACCCCTGCCCGACCACATCTTCAGGGACCCTGGGGAGTAAACCCAGACAGGTCGGGGAAGACACGCAGCTTGGCAGCACGACCTCCGCTTTCAGAGGGAGCGGGGAAAGCCGGACTCTAGGATATGCTCCTTTGCTCTGATCGGTTCCCTGAGGTCTGTACTGCGCAAGAGATGCCCGGTCCCTCCTGCAGTTGGGGGTTCAAGACCCGCTTTTCCGAAGCCCGCCTCCCAGTGGGCTCCAGCCCGGGGCGTGGCAGGCTCGAATCTGCTCCCAGGCCCAGCACGAAGGCTGCAGCGCGTAAGGAGCTGTGGTTCCAACGGCTCGCACCCTCCTTCCCCGCCTGGGCGAGGGACTCGGGGACCGGCCTCCATGGCAGCGCCGCTCCCCGGGATCCGCGCGCACTCATTTTCCTGGCGGAGGGAGCGGGCCTCGGTGGGCGCTGCGTCCTACAAGACGTGCTGACGTCGCGGAGGTCCGGCAGTCGGCTCGGGAGCTGCCGGCGCGCGCGTGTCTGTTGGGCCCCGCTGCGAGTCAGGGAGGCGCGTACGGACGGTGGTTGTGCTGGTCCTAGGGCGGCGGCCGCCTCCGCAGCAGCACTCGGGACTGAGGGGGCCGACGCGGCCCGACTAGCTGGGAATGGGGAGGACCGAGCCCCGCACCTCTCCCCGTCGCGCGTGCGGCTCCGGGGGCGCACAGTGACGGCTGCGGCGCCCCTGGCCGGGCAGCGCTGAGGCCGCTTCGCCAAGGGAGCCTTCGGCCGGCGGCGGGCCGGGCCATGAGGAGCGGCCGGGGCCGGGCCAGGCCTCGCTGACCCCGGCCCCGCGCGGAGGCCTTCCCCGTTTCCGCTCCGGCCTCTCGGCATGAGTGTCCTCTCGGGCCGGGGGCCGCGGCTGCCCCAGTCCGGCGGCCCGCGGGCGCGCTCCGGGCCGGCGGGCCCGCGGTGCTGAGCCCGGCCCGCCTCGCTGCAGCCGCCCGCCCGCCCGCTGTATGCCCCGGGGGCGCGGCCATGGAGGTGGTGGGCGACTTCGAGTACAGCAAGAGGGACCTCGTGGGACACGGGGCCTTCGCCGTGGTCTTCCGGGGGCGGCACCGCCAGGTGAGCCCCGCCGGCGGGGGCGAGGCCGGGGTCTAGTGGGCCGCGGCCGGACTGGGTGATCCTGAAACTTGGCAACGCCGCGAGCGCAGAGGCCCCCCGGGGTCGGCTCGCCGCCCTGAGGCCTGCCATTGTGCGCGCTGTCAGTGTCGCGGGGTTTGTTTTGGTCGGGCGAGGATTGTTTTGAGGCCGAAGCCGCTAGGCAGCGCTCCACCTACCGACGGGCCGCTCGGCCTCTGATTTCCTCCTTGCAGAGTGCCTGGCAACTGGAGTGCACTTAGGGGCTCACCGCCCTGGCCCGCGGGGACGTGCCTTTCCACCTGAATGTGCCCAGGATACGAGTCCGAAAGGACAGTACGGTCCCCTGCCCAGCTCGGGGCTCGGGCGTGGACGCACCTTAGGTTTTTCCGCGCCCGGGGCTGCCAAGGCTTGTCACTTTTTGAGTCGATAATTGCAGACCCAGCGGAAAACGGGCTGGTTTCCCGTTAGCCCGAGACTTTCTCTAACTCGGGGCGGGGTGGTATCGCATTTCCCGGCGTTGGTTCCTCTACGCGCGGACGAGCCCCGTACCACCTTCCCTTGGTGGGGTTAGACTGGAGGGTGGAAAAGATGGTTGGACGCTTCCTTTTTCCATCCCAGTAAACATGAACGCAAATTCAAAAATGTCTTAAAGCTCTTGCTGTTCCACAAACAGGGTCCCACGAGGTTTTCAAATCAAAAAAATTTGGGAAGAGCACGTAGGGAGTGGAAATAGAGGCGTTTGAAATAATCAAATCCTTGTTGTTCGCAAGGGGCCTGTTAAAAGTGGGCTGGTTTTTTTTTTTTTTGCTTATCAGAATAATAAAAACTTACTTTCTTTTAATATGAGAATAACCGCAAACTCAACGGAAAGTAATTAAAAGAGGGCTAAATCTTGCCAGGCGATCAAATACCGCCTTCCAGTTTATTATCTGCATTTCTCTGTAACTTTAAAGTGGCTGTAAACTTTGTCCTTTATTTCACTTCCTGCTGGTTACTATGTGGTCTTCGTAGTTACTGTTTTTAGTGGCTGTCTTGTAGGACATTAGCTTTTAATTTATGAAATCCTTTTCCTATTGGAGATTCAGATTCTTTTCCATCCCCCCCCCCCAGTGTTTATGAATTTGCTAAGAACACCTTGTAGATGATGTTTCTGTAAAACAATTTCCCGAAGTAACACTACTTTTCCTTTTCAGAAAACTGATTGGGAGGTAGCTATTAAAAGTATTAATAAAAAGAACTTGTCAAAATCACAAATACTGCTTGGGAAGGAAATTAAGATCTTAAAGGTATGTTGCTTTATGTGGTATTTCATACTGGGTTAAAACTTATTTTAAATTAATGCACGATGACATCTTTAGTAATTTTGGCCCTTGGAGCCAGGTTTGAGAATTTTCACCTGTTGCTCTCATTTTTGCATGCTCTGTTTTTTGAGACATTTGAGTATTCGGAAGCTATTTTTAAGAATAGATGTTTGTGGCCTGTGGCCAGCACTTAGAGGGATTCTGTGAAGACTGATTTTAGCTTCTAATTTCTTCTTTTCTCTAGTTATTGTGTTACTGTTTGAGAAGAGGCACAGTCTTCTTATCCGTTTAGCCCTTCTCTTGATCTCTTTCAGGTGACACTTAAGTATTGGGGGGGTAACTGGAGGGGGGAATAGAATCTTTTTTCCTTGTAAATCGAAAAAAAAATTTATTTACCTCGGAAGTGGTCTTTTTAGATCTCTCACAAGCAGTGTTATTCAAGTGAGGTGCTTTGGGGAAAAAAATCGTCACCCAGTCAAATATATGTGGAAAATCCTGTTTACTGCATACTTCTTAGAAAGTCACAAAGCACTTTGCTGAGTAAAGAAAATCTGAAAAATTGTGCAATGAAGAAACTGGCTTAGGTGTATTTAACTCTGTTCCCCAAGCTGATGTAAACATAAGAGCTCTCACCTCACACCAGCTTTCATCAAAACTACTACTCTGTGGAGAGCTTTTTGTTAAGAATTACAGCTCTTTGAGCTAAGAATCGTGCTTTATTTTCTTTCAGGCAAATAATGTACTCTTAAAAAGCACTTTGGAATTTCATGCCTTTATTGCTGTTAGAAATGTATATTGAATTCGAAAGACCCCCCAGAGAGTCTGGTCCTACTAACTGTGACATTTATTTTGTCAATGAGAGTACTCACCTTGTTAAGAGTCTAAGAAACGATCTTGGTGAAGAAGCATTTAGGGTTCAGGTAGTTTGATTAGGCACATTTCCTCTTATTCTTTGTAGATTGAATTGTTCTAATCCAGTAACGGAAGTGTAGTATATAGAAAGAGTATATAGTACGTGTATGTGTGTGGACACTTAGTATTTATTTGCATATTAAGATATATTTATTAGAGCGATCACACATATTTTAAATTCTCAATTTCCTTAACAGGAACTTCAGCATGAAAATATTGTAGCACTCTATGATGTTCAGGTACCTCATCCTCATTATTATTATTATTATTATTATTATTTCTTAATTTGCATGTCAGTAAAGAACTTTGCTATTTCTTACAAATTTAAATGGATTGTAATAGAAATAGAAAATTGCCTTATTCTTGTTGGAAAGGTATATAGTTTGAGTTACATGTTTATTAACTAAAAAACTGTTTAAAGTAGTGTAGAGGGATAGAGGGAATAATGTGCTGCACGAGTATAGTTATAGTTGTACTACAGGAGTAGTGTTGCTTTAGGTCAAGGAGAGGAATACTGATACCAGATCTAACATTTCTTTTTTTCCCTACCATTTCTGTAATAAATGTAGAAAGGACTGTTGTGGGCTATTTAAAATCAGAGCTTTATTTTTACTGCAAAAACAACATTTGTTAATTGTAGAGGTATTAGGAAAAAAATAAAAACAAAGAAAGCATACATATTCATCCCCTGATATATTTGTGTTTATCACCGTGGCATACAATAGAGTTGAATTTTATTTGGAGGTGGGAAGGCAAGGTTCTGAGGTTCTCTTCTAAGGCAATATTTTTCCCCTTGGAAATCCTTTTAAAATGCCCAATTTTGGAGAAAATTACTATTTTGGGAGGGGCAGAGCACCAGAGTAAGTAGTTGTCTTATATTTAGGGGCCATATTGTGTTTTAAATTCTAGAATCACTCTTGTCTAGTGTGGTAGCCACTGTGTGAGAGCCACTGTGATCTGAGATCTGCGGGCGGAGGGAGGGGGTGCGGCAGACTCGGCTTCTCCCTGGATTCTCACTAGGATTCTCACTAGGACTAGGGTGCTTGATTTACTTTATTTCCTTCTTTTGTTTTTCTTAGTCTGGACAGTTGAATCCCAGTAAAGTAAATGGACATGTTATATGAGCCTGCTGTATATGTTTCTAGCTCAAACCTTTTCTGTGCACACTTCCATTACTCGAATTCATTTGTTTTCTAAAGCTTGGAGTGACTACTATGTGCCAGGCATTGTTCTAAGGATTAGGAATAAAGCTGGGAGTAAAACAAAGTCCTTGCTTTCAGTGTGCTTAATTTTAGTGGGGTGACACAAAATGGACTATGAGACAAAAGGACAAAACGTCCTTCATGTGCTTCTTTTTTGCATGTAGTGACTTTTCACATAGTCCTATCGTACTACGAAGTATTTAACTAAACCCATGTTACAAGATGTTTCATTTTTTTTCCATTGTAGAAAGTGCTATGAGGATAATAAATAAATTCTGAGCATAGCTTGGATTCTTTATGTTCAGTTTCTAGCGTTGGAATCACCAGGGCAGATAAGTAGCACACAGAGTTGTAAAGTTTTTGACTGTAGTGTGTGATTACTCTTCCCCCCACGTTGCAATTTAAATTTCGTGTGCAGACTATGTGAGTGCTATGGGGTGTGCTCATTATCTGTTTAAATAGGTGTAACTCATTCCTTTAAGAAATTGAAAGCAGCGTAGCAAGAAATGGGAAAAAACTTTAAAGTCAAAACTAAAACTTAGCTCACCATCCCTGGTTGAAATGTTGATTCTCTTCAGAGCTGTTTGTGTAGTTCATCTTACTCTCTGGAGACAGAGGGCACCAAGTGGTACAAGTCAGTGCCTGGTACAAAAATCGTTTAAATAATATTAACTCATAATTTCCCATTTTTTGAGAAACACAGACAACCCTGTCAATTGCAGAGGAGATTTGGCTTTCAGAAAATAGAGAGTATACTTAGATTTCATTCTATTAGAAAAATGTTCTTAAGCACTAGCTTTGGTTGTAGAGTGAGATATTTGGGAGTAACAAGTACTCAGAAACCTGAATTATCAAACAATCAGGAATTTTAAGATGACTGCATTAAAATGTTTGTATTTTGTGCATTGTATACTACTAGAAATACGTACATTTATGAAATATCAGTCAAATACACTTTTGAGCATTTGGCTAAGGAGTAAACAGTCTTGACCTAATATTTTAGATTTGCTTCCTTAATTGCTTACAGTATGTTGGTAGAGACAGTACAGTAATTTTATCTACTTGAAACAAACATTGTTTTTCCTGGACCATCAATTTTGGAGATCTGTCTAAAGTTTATGGATACACTTTTATAAATTGAGAACTTCCAACACTGTAAAAAATCAAGTTTCAGTTTAGATGACACTTAAAAAGCAACATGCTTTCCCTAATGAAAAAATTAATATATCCCCATTTAAAATAATCATTGTGAACATGAATAAATTAGAAAAGAAATAGCAATTTTCAGAGATAAATTGAGTTTTCAAAATATATATATATGCAGCTATAATCATTTATACTTAGATTTTTAAGCTTTGCTTTGTGAGGGACTTTTAATAGTATTTTTGTATAAATGCAACTCGTTTTATTAGACTTAGTGTATTTTGGATACCTTTTCATATCAACATAGTACCATAGGGCTAAATGATAATTACTTAAAACCCAACTGTGGCCATTTGAGTTGTTTCTTATTTTTCTCTGTTAGAAACAGTGCTGCAGAGAAAGCTGTGTACATATCTTTGCTAATTTAAATGAGTGTTCCTGTAGAGTAAATTCCTGGTCATGGAATCGTCTGGTAAAAGGTATTAGCATGTTGCCTTGCAGAAGGTTGTGCCAATTTATTTTGATTTAATGACCTGGTTAGTTTTTTTTTTTCCTTAAATCATTAATGCATTGACATTTTCATGTTTTATTTGCTTTTTTGTATTTCTTCTGTGACTTTCCTTTTACCATTCTGTGATGCTTTTGTTGTGTTCATTGTTCTTACTGATTTCTTTGTAATTAGTATTTCTTGGATCAGTTAATGAGAGTATACAGGAGTAGAGTGGTAAACAGAATAGAAATGGTCCTTGCCCTCGTGGAGCTTCCAGCATATTGGGGAAGAGGACACGAAGCAAATAGCTACTTATTCTAAGTGTGCACCATGCTGTGAAGGAGAAGAGGACAGTTAAGACCTTTGAGAAGAAAGCGTATGGGGGTGGGGAAGACTTGGTGAAGAAATGGTGTTAAGCTTGATGGAAGAGTGGGAGACGGCCAGGCTTAGGTAGGTGGGAGAAGGGCAGGTAAGAGCCCCAAGCAGAGAAGTCTTCTGTGTGAGCAGACGGGAAGGATGAGAGCTTGAGGAGCTGGGAGAAGCCTGGGTCAGGGGTGGGAGTGCAGGGGTGAGGGGAGGGGAGTGGTAGCTGGTGATGGCCTTAATGCTGGCAGGGGCCACAGGCAGTCTTGATTCTGACTTCAGTGGCACTAAGGCACTGAAGACTTTTAAGAGCAGGAGAGAGATACCATTTCTGTTTTTCAAAAGATACCTATCTTTGAGCCTTCTGGGCACGAGATAAGTATTGTCAGGAGTACTTCACCGGCATACTTGTCAATTGTCAGGATAAATATCCACCACTAGGTAATTTTTAGTGTTGTGAGGAAAAGATGATTCATTTAATAAAATGGTGCTGGCAAAGCTGAGTTGTCTGAGAAAAAGTAGTATGGATCCCTATTCTCATCATTTTCTTTCTTTTTTTTTTTTTAAGATTTTATTTATTTATTCGACAGAGATCACAAGTAGGCAGAGAGGCAGGCAGAGAGAGAGGAGGAAGCAGGCTCCCTGCTAAGCAGAGAGCCCGATGTGGGGCTCCATCCCAGGACCCTGAGATCATGGCCTGAGCTGAAGGCAGACGCTTGACCAACTGAGCCACCCAGAGCCCCAAGAATCTTAGAATAATATTTAGATGACTATAATTCAAGAGTTGGAAAGGTATTTTAAATCAAGAAACTCAGAAGCTATAGAATTTTTCAAAAGTTGCCTTATGGCAAATAGTACCATGAACAAGTTGACAGCCATAAAAAGGAACAAACTTGATACCTGCCACAGCATATGAATTTTAAACATTAGCTTGTGTTTCAATGTCCCGATTGGGTGGGGGCCTGTGGTGCAGGTCCTGAAAGAATTCACTCAGCGTGGAACAGTGGAGGTAGACGTTTGCTGAATATGCCAAAAGGGAGCAGCATGCAGGACGGAAGGGAGAGGAGGAGGTCTTTGGAGGAGGCAGTGGTGGGGGCTGTAGTTATAATGCAGAGTAAAGAGGTAGGGGCACATATGGAACTTTCCCTTTTTTGGTAAATGTACATGGTTACGTTGGTCACTTACGTTCTGTGGCCATTTTGAGGCAGGTCGCTTAAGGAGCCTGTTTGCAGTGTGGTGGTCACTGTGGGTCTTTCTGTCTGGCTCACGTTTCCATTGCTCAAGCCTGTTGCCTAAAAGTGGCCTCTACAGTGCTGAGGAAAAGAAGCCAGCCATATACAGCTCCCATATATGATTCCTTGTTTGTGAGCTCCGAGAAGAGGCAGAACTGAGTGAGAGTGGTAGAAGTCAGGGAAAGGCGCAGGAGAGGGTGGTGCCTCAAGGGAGCTGGACAGCCAAGGGGATAAAAGAACTTTCTGGGATGATGGAAATGATCTGTCTTTCGATTGGAAGGGTGATTACATGGGTCTCTCCATTTGTCGAAACCCCTGAAATGTGCACTTCAACCTGTGTATGTTAATGAATATACATTATACCATAATAAAATTTTTAAAAAGAGGAAGTATTTACAACACAACAGATACCAGGCTAATATCTCAAACATATAGATCGTCTCACAAATTGGTAAGGAAAAGATAACCCAAAGAGACAGTAAGCAAAGGATACAAATTGTTGGTTCTCATAAGAGAAATAAAGATGGCTAATGTATGAAATGATATTCATGAACAAGTGGTCAGGGAAATGTAAAGAAACAGTGAGATGTCCCCTCTCACACATCCCTTTGGCAAATTAAAAAGTGCCTCAGTTCCTTCTGGTGGAAATGAGGAGGAGGTGTACAGTGTTCTCATGGATCGCTGGTAGAAATGGGAGTTGTTAGAACATTTTTGGTATGCTGTTGGACAATATTTTGCTTCCACACCCTGTAAGAATATTCTTAATGTCGCAGTCAGACCAGTCCCGGTGATTATGTAAGTCAGGGCTT